CAGTAAATGACCAAAAATTTTGGTCTTACCAATTTTTTTTTTGGGGGGGGGACGTTAAATTCCCGATATTCGAGTATATTCATTTCAACAACTTTACTCGAGCACCCACGAGCTCCATCCTTAAACTTCTTTGAGACCACTAACTGGTGCAGGGTACAAGGAACAACCTGTGAGGAGGTACTAGGTGAATTAGGGGTCAAGACACTATGCAAAGCGAGAGTCCGGAACTACCTCACAACCTGGAATTTCCGTATATGAGAAGACATAACATATACATATCGGGAAAACAGTTTCTTAAGCACTTATAGCTCACAGGATTGCTTTCATCAAAAAGCCACAAGAATTGAAAGAAAATCTTGCACAAGAGCCGGTTTCGGAAAGGAAGTCTTGTACACGTGCACAAGACGTGCGCATTCGGGCTTGATGAGAGGCCGTCAAAATTTATTGCGTATTCTTGCGCGTTCTTGCGTGTTTTTTGGGTTTCCGTCGTGAAAAATTGGGTTTCCAACGCGTTCTTGCGCAACTTTGTTGGGGATCCAGCTCTACTCCCGTATCATCAGAGTGTTTCGTGGTTTTGGTACACGTAAAATGAGTATATGGTACACGTAAAATGAGTATATAACGGTGCATACCTGGTGAAGTTGGCCGACACACAGGTGAAGGCCCTGTCCTACAACACTGCCCAACATAGGTTATGTGAGTTATGTGGTTATGTGCGTAAAGTGCTGGCAAATCAACATTTTCATAGTGTCATTTACGACTCCAGGTATAAAATTCCTTAGTACATCAGGTTGGCTGCCTGTATGTATGTAACTTATGCCCAATCAAGACATTTACAATCCATCCATCAGGGCCCAATATGCAGAGTTCCGTCAGTCAACAGCTGCAAACGGTAGTTTACCCCAGAAAGCCTGAAAAATCGAGTGCTGCAGGGAAAACGCCCACAAAACCCACAAGAATCAGAAAACGAGGGTCACAAGAAACAAGAATGCGCAAGAAACCAACGCGATACCAAAAAACACACTGCGGTCAAAAAAAAAGGTCCGACCAAAAATTAACGATCAGCAGCCAAAAAGAACCACATAGGAGCCTTCAGGTGGACATTTCGTAGTTCGGCCGTTAAACATCCCTAAACTCCTCTCAGCTGACGCTGAAACTCCGCTGGACCAAGCCCAAGCCTTGATTGCAAGACTTGGACCAACACCCCTCAAATGCCATTTTCCGTTGAATTACGTTGTGGCAAAAGGGAAAGTCCTTCACGTTCATAACATTCTCCTTTCATACCTGATCAGACTCTTCCCCCAGAATCTGACAAACTGGATGTATTTTGGGCTCCAGTTCCTGGACAATGTTGGTACGAGATGGCAATGACGTGTGAAGCAGATTCTCTTGTCTCGATAACATGTTCAACCCGCGTTGGAATCTTGGAACAGTGCTTGCGTGCGCAGCTTCGGGCTTCAGTTTCGCCCGTTGGCCATGTGCTACTCGCACCTCAGTCTTAGCCCGCAAAGCTGGACAGGGTCCAGCTCTCAGCGTGCATCATGGCTCGAAG